ATTATTAACAAATCCATAGTAAATAAAAAAAGATATGTTTCGTATAAAACAAATGTAAAATTTTGATAACATTTTGGAAATCAAAATCGTATTTAAATGAGATTAAATTTTCAACATTTTCTTTTTTTCTATATTAATAATATAAATAATATATGTTAAACTAATAACTGTTATCACAGTAATTAAATATTAATATATTTAATTTCATTAAAACCGTAATAAAATAATCTTATGAATTGTATTACTAATTAAAAATTTTACAAAATATATTTCGTAGAAATAATTTTATGGAAAAAAAAATATATATATAATAATTATTAATATTCAAAACATTCGTGGTTACAACATAAATGACATAAACGACATATGAAAAATTTCAACGAAAATTTTTCTCAGTTGAAAAAGAAAAAGAAAAACGAAAAAAAAAAGAAATGAAAAAGAAAAAGAGAACAAACGAAATCTTTAAAATGAAAAACAATTTAGATCAAATAAACGATAAATAAAATCGTTCCTGATTAAATTATATAAATTATTTACATGAACAAAATTCTTTTATATAAATAATTTCATTTGAATAAAATTTGTATAATCCTAAGACTGAGAAACGGGCGAGTTCCTTCTTTCTCTTTCTTTTTTCATCAATATATTCCGAATAGATATATTATTATATACATATATTACAATTTAATAATATAATATATATATATATATATATATAAAATCTTGAAATTTTTTAAATTTATGAAATCTTGAAAATTACAAATTCGTACGATCATGTCAAACGAGAGTATAAAGAGATGAATAACATAGTAAGGGAGGACGAGAGATAAGTGGGGGAAGTGGATTGAACGGGATGAGAGTTCAAAGGGTATGAGGTTAAATGTAAGAGTATCGTGCAACAATTGAACAAATGTCTCGTCAATTTATTCGAATAACGTATGTATATATTTGTGTATGTAAGTACATACATACGTACGGTTTGGATCCCTCGATCGAGCGAAAATGCGAGCGTAACTTTTGTTAAGTGGACGCGATCGTACGGTTCCTCTTTTTATCTCCTTTTCACGAGACCCTTGTCTCGTCGTCGCTTATTTACGGTCGCGCCGGCCATTCTTGTTCGTATACGAAATTACTGGACTGTGTGCATGCCCGTGAAAATACCCATCGTAAATAAACTCCCTAACCATTTTCGAAGATTCGAGAGATCGTTTCGAGTCACGCTCCGAACTAAAATCTCACTTTTCTTTTCTTTTTTTCCCTCTTTTCTTTTTTTCCTTTTTTTTTTCTCTCTTTTTTTATTGTTATTTTCTCTCTCTCTTTCTCTCTCTCCCTCTCATCGTTTCGTCTTCGTTTACTTTTCTCCTTTTATTTATTTTTTTTTTTTTTGGTTCAATCATTCACTCAAACTGTTCGAAGAAAATCGCAGTATGCGTCATTTCGTTCATTAATAGGAATTAATAATTGTCGTTAATATATGTTATTAATAATGTATATGTGTGTTATTTATTTTGATATTCTATTAATAATATAATAATGAGATATTAGAGATACTAATTATCTTATACATAATATATATATATATGATGTTATCAATAATAATTAGGCATGATGCTTGTATGACGTTTATATGTTTATATTTCATTAAATTTATGTATATAATCTCAATACTATATTTTTAATAATAATTATATATATAATATATATATATATATGTATAATATTATTATACATATATACTATATGTGTATATGATATTATTAATTATATTTATATACATCAAATAGACATATATATATATATATATATATATATATATATATAATATTAATAATAATTATGCATGCTATATATATGACGTCTGCAATATAATTATTATAATAATAGTTATGTAAGATAAATAAACATATATATATATATATGATATATATATATATATAATATTATTATAATAATAATGCATGATATAAATGTAAATATAGATAAGATATATATATTAATATTATTAATATAAACATATATATATATATGATATATATATATATATATATATATATATAATATTATTATAATAATAATGCATGATATAAGTGTAAATATAGATAAGATATATATATTAATATTATTAATATAAATATATTTATATATATATATATATATATATACAATATTGTCACTAATAATTATGCATGATATATACTTATGATATTATTAACTATTATGCATAATTTATAAATTATATAAAACTTATACGACATTGTAAATGACAATTATGCCCAATATATAAATAATTTTTATAAAACAAATACATCTTTTCTCTTTCAATTATTCGTTTGACAATAATAATAATAATAACAATAATAATAATAATAATAATAACAATAATAATAATAATAATAATAATAATAATAACAACAATAATAATAATAATAATAATAATAATAATAATAATAATAATAGTAACAATGATAAAAAAAAAAAAAATAATGAAAAAAAAAAGAAGTAAAATAATAAAAATATGATTATTTTGATTAGCGAAAATATTCGACGATTCGATTGGATTATGGAATAAAATGAAATGGTTGTAATTCGTATATCGTAAGAGATATATCAACGTAGAAAACTTTTCAATTATAAACACTTCACAGGTTATACGAGATGGCAGCCTGCTGTTCCCTCGTTGACTCGTATCCGTCCTTCCGAAAATACGCGAAAACTTGGCCCGGCTTAGTCTGAAAGGCTATCGTTTGTCTTCCTAAAGTTTTGCACGACAGCTGGCCTCTCTTTACGGGTCGAAGAACACCGGAAACGTTTTCATGGACGGGTTAATCGATCGCATCGGTGTGAATGATATCACTGCAGAGATCTGCAGAACAGATAAACGAATATAAAAGACTTTTACGTCGTTTCTCGCGATTACACGCAGATAGGTATATAATAATAATAATAATAATAATAATAATAATAATAATAATAATAATAATAACAAAACGAAAAAGAAAGAGAAAAAGGAAAAAAGAGAAAAAAAAAAGAGAGTAAAGGAAAGTCAAACAAAAATCAAAAACGATAGAGATACGTTACGTTGGATAAAAAAAAAAAAGAAAAAGAAAAAAAATCAATTCAAAATGTGCGTTAAGTATGAATATTTGTTGATGAAGCGCAAAAAAATATTCTCGTCGATAGAACGTTTCTCTTTTTCTTTTTCCCCTTTTCTTTTTTTTCTTCCCCCACCCGCTCCCCTCCTCCTCGCTTAACTCTCGAGCAGTAATATATATATATATATATATATATATATTTTTTCTTTTTCATAAATTTAACTCGATCAAACACGAAGTTTAAATCCATTGCATTTTCATCATTGTAAATCACATTTTTACGTTGAAAATAAAGAAAAATCAACGGTATTATTTGTAATTAATTTCAATTTCTTTCGATGTGATTCGCTCCAGAAAATATATTTTTTGTTTCTCTTTCAACTTTTCCTTTACGTGTTACATTATGTTTTTTTTTTCTTTCTTTTTTTTTTTTTTCTTTTTTTTTGTACGTATTTCACGCATTTATTATTTCTGGGATTTTAATTTTAATTAGAAATGTGTTCCCATGCGTTACTTCTTCAAAATAAGTACTTAGTTACATGCACATGCATCATACTCACATACGCACACACACACACACACATACATATACATATATATATATATATATATATATATATATATATATATAATACATTACGTGTAAACGTTGCATAACATTACGTTTTTCATCTTTTACAAAATGTACGATCGTACACCTCTCGAAAAAAAAAAGAGTTAATTTTTCATCAGTATTTACATCGAAACATAGGATTTTTAATGACAAAGTCGATGCACTACAAACGTGTAGGATGAAAATAAATTTTGCAGCATCGATTTTTTCGTCGAATTTATTAAAAACGAAAAATAAATAGACAAAATGTAATATCATACGTTGTTTCGAGCACTATAGTTCAAAAATATCATTTGTTGAATTTCTGAAGGCTTCATGTCAGTTGAAGTTATTTTTTTTAAATTCTCTTTTTTAATAAATAATAATAATAGTAATAATAACAATAACAATAACAATAATAATAATAATAATAATAATAATAATAATAATAATAATAATAATAATAATAATGATAATTGGCGTATGAGATGGTAGATATAATTCATCACTTTTTTAACTCAAACGAAATTTAACTCTATTCAGAAATTATATTATAACAATATACATGTATGCATACACCAACACACACACACACATACACACACACACACACACATACACACACGCACATATAGGTATATAAAATATGTATGTTCGTACGAATATATAGATATATTGTATAGATATATTAAAATATATTAAAAAAGTATATAAGAAGAGAAATACACGGACAAGAATAAAATTGTAATTGGTAATATTTTTGATTACGTTGAAAAAATGGAACGAACGCGTATATTATGAATGAAATATAACGTATATTAAAAAAAAAATATATATATATATATATACATACATATATATTAAACTATTAATTATCAAAATTTATTATATATTTTCTTTTTATTACACGAATGAAAAACATTATAAATTCTAATATTAATGATATAAAATAATATTAAATATATTAATAATATATATATGCGTGTATATAAAGAGAATTACGGCAGAATAAAAGAGAAAGAAATTTTTTGATTGGTCGTCAAAATGTGACGGGTCTACAAATGCCATTCCCATCTCGTTTATATCCTACATCACATTCTATTTGAGGTGCAGATATGATAGCTCCTATAGACAGGCCTTCTGAAGGGCCTCTAAAAGCTATTTCAAGAATAGAAGGCATTGTCGTTTGTTCCTCGTTCATTTTCTCCGTATTTATAAGAATCGTTGTTAAAGGTAACGATGACGTGCTAACAGGAGGTTCAGTCAATTCTCCATTTATTAGCACGATTGCGAAAAAATTGACCAGCAAGGATATCATCCTCCTAGAAATAAAACAAAATATTATTATATTCGTTATGTTCAAAGTCAATGAATAATAAAAAAATTCCAATTCGATTTAAATATCATATAAGAAAAAAAAAGAGCATATATATTTTTTTCAATAAATAAAATTTTTTTTTTAAAAAGCCGTCATAACAGAAAAGTGATCCTTTTTTTTTATATTCATTTATTTAAAAAAAATAATATATATATATATATGTATAAAATATATAGTTCTTATATATTATATAATATATATGCATATATATTATAATTTTGTTTTCATTAAAAGCGGAACGTAATCTTATCTCTTTATTTATTTATTTTTAATGATATATAAGTATCTTTTTTTTGTATATAAAAAAATAAATTTTTTTCCATTATAAATAACACATATACGTATACACATACACATATATACACGCATACATATATAAAATAAAAATTTCTTTTTTATTTTTTAATTACAAAATTTTCTAACTGACACGATGACGATAATATGATTATTATTATTATTATTATTATTATTATTATTATTATTATTATTATTATTATTATTATTATTATTATTATTATTATTATTATTATTATTATTATTAAAATGATCGATTCGAATGCTTACCTTTTAGTTGCAATTGAAAAGATTTTTTCCAAAGTCATATAACGAATTGATCGATGTATAGAACATATATATATGTAAAAAAAAAAAAAAAAGAAAAGAAGGAAAGAAAATGGAAAAAAAAATATCGTATCACACGAACGATAAGTTTGCGAACGAGTATAAACTAATCTTTTCATTGAAGTAAAATACGATATCTATCTCTTACTTATACTCATCGAAATAGCTACGATTATGTAATATTTGAGGTTCTTCAAATGTCAAAAGATGACATAATAGTGAATCACTTCCGCGAATCCTATTACGGAATCTTGTCCCTCTCTTTGTATGTGATAAAGATAAGGTCAGATATAATTAAGTAATTTTAATGACCATCTTACGATTAATGATCATATGGCATGTATTAGTTTTATCATTAGGAACGTACAATATATTTCAAAATAATATAAAAACATATTCGTGAACTCGTGAACTCGTGAATTCTTTTTAATAATGATTATTTTTCTTAGTATTTTAAGATGATATTATAAAACAGTATGATATGTGAAAATGTTTTCAAGAAGAATCAATGAAAAAAAGTTATCCTTCGAATAAAACACTTGAGAACGCTTTATTGTACGACGAATTGTTTCGTTTAATATCGCAACGATCAATCTTTACGGAATATGTTTGTACAACCTTCGATTTAATTCGAACGTTATGTACGTTGTAATGTTAGAAAATGACGTAATCAGGAAACACGTACAAAAGTATATTTACCTTACTTAGTGTTTATAAATACGATGATCGTTCGAATGGAAAGACAGATACGTTCGTACTTTTCTACAGTGAGGACAACGATATCGATTTTCCTGATATATATATATATATATATATATATATATATATATATATATATATATATATATATAGATACGTACATACATATATGCATACATAAAATGAAAAATTGTTATTATTCATTTATTCCTTTTTTCTAATTTCTAATTAACACGTTCCGTGTAAAGCCATTTTTACCTGATTTGTTGTTCAGGTCATTTGATATTTTGACTAAAGAAAAAAATGACTGCATGTACCACCGGTGGTACACGTGGCTTGAAGATCAAGTTTAACGTGTACTATCGGTGATACACATGGCACGGAACGTGTTAAACAATTTTATATATATATATATATATATTTATGTATATATAAAGTCGATTATTTGTATTAATACATCGTAACATGTAAATCATTTCATTTCAGGTAAGTACTTTATTTACTCAGTGATTTAATGATGAGTTATAAGTGACTATGATAATATTACGTAAATTTTCATATAACAATTAGTTGATTAAATCGTTGATTATTTATTTGTATAATTTTTATGTCCTTCGGATCGAAGAAAAAAAAACAAAAGAAAAAAGAAACAGAAAAAGAGCAAAAAAAAAAAGAGAGAGAAAAATAAAATATCAAGATCTCTTCGGAAGAGCAAAAGCTAGATCATTTCGTAATACTACGATAAGAATCAACGTGCGTGTTATTTTTTTTTCTTTCCCTTTTTCTTTTTTTTTTTTTTTTTTTGTTTTTATAATATTAATTTACACGACTTTCAGGTATAACTCTAATGCAATGGAGACAATGTGCGATAATCAAAATTCTTAAAGCTTAACATGATTATGACAATGAAAAGAAATTGAAATTATTAAATGGAAGATAAGAGAAAAAAAAAAGGAAGGATAATAATTTAACTGTTTGCTTGATACGTTTGATTGTCTTTCCGTTTTTTATTTTTTTCTTTTGTTTTTTTTTTTTTGGATTTTTTATTTTTTTATTTTTTCCTATTTAAATATAAGTCCGAACAAAAGTATAATTCCTTTTCGTAGTTATTAAATAAAAATTCTTGTGTAAATTAAAAAATTTCAAACGAGTACGTATCAACTTTGATTATCGAAAATATTAGACATTAAGATAAACAGATAAATCGATTTATATACTTGTATCAGATAGATCGATCATTTACGTGTTTATATATTAATAATAATTCTTCTCCTTTTCTTCTCATTTTTTTTTAATCATACGTAATCCTTAAAAATTGTAATGGTAATTATAAATCGAAGTGTTAATTACTTGATCGTAATGAAATAATTTATTTGAAAAAGAAATAAATGATCTAAAAAAAAAAGAAAAATGTTTGTATGAATTAAGAGAGTATTATTTTTTTTTTTTTTTTTTTTTTTTTTTTTTTTTTTTTTTTTTTTTTTTTTTTCATCAAAGATTAAGTAATAATTCGGACTTTGTGCTAATTATCTAGTGAAAGTATCATTGAATGATACTGAACGTATTATGCAATTAAGAAACTACTGTCTGTATATATATATATTTGCGTGTGTATTTATTTGTATTGAGCAAAACATATGTCAACAAATATATACGTATTCCCAAAGATATTATTATATTTGACATATCGTGAATAAAAGATAAATAATTAAATAAATGCATTTTTTGCCTTTTTTCTTCTTCTCTTATTTCTTCTACAATATCGATCTTAAAAAAGATAAATATTTATTATTATATACAATTTTATGATTTATTTGACGATTAGGAATCAAAAATTACAAAGAAAAAAGAGTAATGCATTCGGTTTCCTTAGAAAAAGTTAATAAATTAAGTTTCCAAATAATTTGATTAATAAAATATCAATAGAATACAGATAAAAGTATATTATCTCATTGTTTTCCTTCCTGTTGTAAAAAAAAAAAAAAAAAAAAAAAATAGAAAAGAAAAAAAAAAACAAAAGACAAATAATTGAATGAAAAATGAGATCACTTTAATTAGACGTATTTAAGATCATGAAAAAACGTGTGTCTAATTTCACATAGCAGACTCTCTTTACGGATAGGAATTTGCGTCTTTTAGAGATGTTGCAATAAGTATCCTTTGCGTATCTTGAAGAAATTTCATTAATTCACAAAGAATAAAAAAAAATAGTCTCTCGTTCTATCTCGAAGGACTCAAGAAGTATTCTCGATCTACAAGGATCTAAACTCTACTATGCTTTAAAAAAAAAAAAAAAAAAAAAAAAAAAAAAACAAAAAAACAAGATTTGATCGAATCTCATTTCGTTCGTAAAATATTTTAAACGAATGAAATAATTTTTTTCTCTATCGTTAATAATTGATCGAACGTATGATTGATATCAATCACTCGTGCAAATTTACGAAAAACATCGTTCGATCTGAAGAATATCTTCGAAACATCCATCGATGAGAATTTTTTTTCCTAATCGTCTATCAAGAAAATTTCATCAAAGATTCTTTTTGATAGGGAATGTCAAATATAAATATTACCATAACATCGATTTTCAAGATTTATAGAATCAAATAAATTCTCGACATATATTGACAAATATATTCGTGTGTAATTGCATTAACATTGACATTCTCGTTTCTCGTCAAATACATAATATAATATGTTTATGCCATATGATTCGAACAATCATTGACTTTCATTGAGTTTATTATTGAACTTTCGTAAATGAAACAAAAACGTGACGACGTAATTAACGACTTGAAAGCTCAAAGAATTCTCATTGAAAAAATATCAAACGACGCTTGTAAATAACTTCAAAAGGTTTAACGATTGGTTTTTCTCGAGTACAACTAATTGTTCGAGTTGGAAGAGTTGGAGTTCGTCATATCGGGTAGCCATTTTGACGCCCATCGATCGACTCATCTGTAACTACTACACGGGTTATCCCTGTGTCGGGATTAGAGAGTAGGACGCGAGTGATCGAAGATCATCAACGAAACAACAACCTTGTCACCGTTCAGAATCTACTACGTTACGTTAGAACCCAACAAACGGTATTCTCAAGTATAATAGGGTATACTTGTTATATAAAAGGATCTATTACATGCAACGAGAGATAAACGTCTAATGATTACCGAGAGTGCACTTAACGTTCGATGAAAATGTGATCGTTCGTAATTTATTTCGTTGCATTTTTATTAATGACGTCACCATTAACTGTCGATAAGAAAGGACTTAGTGAATCGATCTAACAATGGAAATGAGTTTAAATTACATGGAAATTGATTTATCCAAAATGACAAGTTGATCGGATGAGTTCAATGAAAATAAATTGAAACTATAAATAACGATTGTATTAACTATAGTAAACGTAATATTTATACTTTGTTAATTTAAAATTGACGATACATTTTATAATTGAACACTTCTTCGTCTATTATCGAAACATTGCATCTTGATTATTTTCAATACTTTTCTTTTTTTTTTCTTTTTGGCTTCGATCGAATTCCCAATGTATTTATTTACCTGTTACATATATTTTTATATCACTGATTGTTTTTTTCTTTTTTTTTTTCAATTGAATCTCTAAACATAAAGTTCCATCTTAATTAACGCCATTGGACGTAACAGAGTTTGTTTTCGCGTTTCTGTGAAAATTTTCTTAGCAGCATGATTGAAATGATTTCTTCTTTTTTTATTAAATTAGAAAAAAAAACAGAAAATAAATTGTAAAAACAAATTATAAAAAATCATTTATTAAAAAGTATTATCATTATTATTTATATATATATTTATTTATTTATTTATTTATTTATTTATTTATTATTGTTGAGTGTCATTCATTTGAAAGAAAAATTTTTTAAATAAATTATAAATTTAAAAAATTTATTTAATTTATTTAATTTAAATTTGATCGTTCATCACAATATAAAAGGCTTACACGTGTCATTCTCGTCTCATTTTTATCCTTCATACGATTAATTGTCGTTGATAATAACGACGATATAGTTATAAGTTATATCAATTGTTAATTTATCAACACGATTACGAAGTAATCAGTTAACAAGGATTTTATCATTCACGAGAAAATTAATTTTGTGTTGGTTAAAAATTATAAATATAAAAATTAAAAAAGGAAAAAAAAGAAAACAGAGAAATGTTCGAAATATATATATATATATATATATTAAAGAAAAAAAAAACTAGATCTACGTGTTCTTTTTTTTAGATTTTAGATAACTTAGATTCTTTATCTTCATTGAAGATAAACAAGTTAATTTCTAAGTTATATAAAGAAGTTAATTCTAAGTTATCTAAGAAATCTTTAATATCCAATTTCTTAACGATCATATATCATAATATATAATATATATATATAAATTTGTTATCATAAATATCACACACACATACACACACACACACATATATATACATATACGTATACGCATACATACAAAATAAAATTATTATTCCTATTCATATTTCTTATTCTTTTTTTCTTTTTATTTATTTATTTTTTTTCTTTTTAATTAAAGAAACTTCATATTCGAACGATTCGAATATAATAATTATTAAAGAAATAATTATCAGGTATATCTCTTTCAATAAAAATTTCAAATAGTTTCTTGGTTCAAATAACGTATCGATGAATGATGACGAGCGAATAGTTTTTAATAAAATAAATTGTTGCAGTAACTTCGAAGAAATCGCATTACACCGATGATATAATAAGATCCGACGTGCATAAATAAATGTTTTTTTTTTTTTTTTTTTTATTATTAAAGAAGAGCATAAAGTTCAAACTGTGTTATTTATTTTTTTTTTCGGAGGAGCTATGGTCACGTAATATTTGGCATTTCTTAATTTAACGAAGAAACACGGATAATTAACATTCTCATAAATCCTATTAAAGATATTTTATATATATATATATATATATATATATATATATATAAACCTAAAAATATAAACCTTCTCTTAACGTAACATCATCAAAAGTTTACATAATTGATATAAATTCTATATTTAGGAATGAAACAGTTCTTTTTTTTGTTTTTTTTTTTTTTTTAATCAACCAAACCGTTCGTTTAAATCGAGTCCCGATTAATTATTTCGACGATATCGTATAATAATCAATTTGAAAAATATATCTTTTAACGTTTCCTGACAAATGGTAATGTTTGAAATGACATAATAATGAAATATATTTTAATGTATAAATATGATTATTGACGTGCATCGAAACATAGATCGTTCGTATCTTCAAACAGTGATAACAACAATATCGATCTTAAAAAAATCCTTGTATTATTTATTCGAGTTTTCTCAATCACATTATAACTCATGTCGATAATAATTTATTATAATGATTGACAACAAATGACTATGGAAAATATTATGTGATTTCGAAACGAAAGGAAAAGAAAAAAGAAATGATAAAACGATTAAGGATCGATCATTACTTCGAATAATTTGATTGATTTTATGAAGAATTATTTTTTTTTAGAAAAAGTTAAACAAAAAGAAAGAAAGAAAAAGAAAAAAAAATATATTAAATATATATATATATATATATATATATATATATATATATATATTAGTAATACTATACATTTGTGTGTTTATGTTAATCTGTGTTATATTAAATATAAAATAAAATAAAATAAAATATGAAAGAAAATTTTTGATTGATCGTCATATTGTCTGTTCTTCTTACTTTTAATCGTTTAAATCAGATATGGTAGACATTTCCGTAAAGATTTTGAAACCTGCTAAAGAAAAAGTAATATTTCATTTGTACGTCATTTTTCTCCTTTGTTATGTCAATCGTCGTTAACAGTAATAGTGATATGATAACAGGAAGATACATTCATCAGTATGATCGTTAAGAAACTCGATATTAAAAGATTTCATTTGACTGAATCCTGTGTTCAGGATTCTTAAATAACTTAGAATTAACGTCTTTAGATAACTTAGAAATTAACTTGTTTATCTTCAATGAAGATAAACAATCTAAGTTATTTAAAATCTAAAAAATTAAAGAACACATAGGTATAATTTTTTTTTTTCTTTAACAATATTTTAACATACTTCAAGAAACAATATTTCTTACATATGTGTTATTTTTTTTTTAATGTTTATTTATTTAAAGAAATAACATTATATATATATTTATTTATTTATTTATTTATTTATTTATTTATTGTACGCATGGTCATGTAATTTTGTTTTATTTAAAAACGAAACATGACATAATCTTTATATATTTTTAATCGGATATTAATATGTATATATACGTATATATATACATTTTTTTTATATATAAGTAAAGTTTATTATAATAAATATCACATATACATATGTGCATACACGTACACACGTATACACAAAACGAATATATTATACCTATTCAATTATTCCTTTTTTTTTTTTTTTTTTTTTTTTTTAATTAAAGCAACTTCGTGTATTCAAATGATTCTAATATTATTAATAACAATTACATACACACACATATGATTATGTAATTTTGTTTTAGTTAAAAACAAAGCATAATCTAATCTTTATATATAATTTTAATCTGATATAGTTATGTATACATATATATATACTTTTTTTATAGGTAAATAAAATTTGCTATTATAAATATCATATATATATATATATATATATATATATATATATATATATATATGTATGTATGTATGTATGTATGTATGTATGTATGTATGTATGTATGTATGTATGTATGTATGTATGTATGTATGTATGTATGTATGTATGTATGTATGCATGCATGCATGCATGCATGCATGTATGTATGTATGTATGTATGTATGTATGTATGTATGTATGTATGTATGTATGTATGTATGTATGTATGTATGTATGTATGTATGTATGTATGTATGTATGTACGTATGTATGTATGTATGTATGTATGTATGTATGTATGTATGTATATATATATACATACAATATAAAAATATAAAATGGAATATACATAGACAAAATGTTATTTCTATTCAATTATTCCTTCTTTTTGTTTTATTTAATTAAAGAATCTTCGTATTCGGATATTACTAATAACATAATGATTGATCCGCATACCATTCAATAACAATTTATAATTGCTTCGTGGATCAGATTAATGTGATCGATCGATCGAATGATACGAGATTGATTGTAATAAAAGAAATCATACGAAGAATTTAGAAAAATTCTATTACGTATCTGAAATGTTACGAAGACTTATAAAGAATTATTTTCATTGAAAAAGAGAATGTTATCAATCGATTATTATATACTACTCGAAAGATCTTTACGATCACGTGATATCTGACATTATTGAAGATGTTGAAAAGTACATATTAATAATTAATGTTTCCATGAATATTATTACGGAATTCTATAATTATGTATTATTACAATAAAAATAATAATCGTGTTATAACAAATCGAATATGTTTCTCTTTATTTATTTTTCTTTTTTTTCTTTTTTTTTTTTTTTTTTTTTTGCAATTAAACGTTTCTTCAATTAAATGTGTATCAAATCTATTTTGAATTAATTAATCTTTTAATAGTTTTAATTAATTTATTAAACTATTAACAGACAAATTAATATTTAATATCAATTTGATGTAACGTAGATAAATGGATATTACGTATTAAAATAAAAAAATTTCGTATTCAAAAATTTTTAATATGATAAGTAGTAAAACCAGTTTTGACGTGGAAGCGCCCCATTCGTATTTATCTTTGACGAATTATTATATTGCCAGTTGTGTAATAATCAATACGAAAGGAATGTTTTAATATTTGTCTTTCTCTGTTTCTCTTTTTTCTTTTTTTTTTTTTTTTCTTCTTCTTCTTCTTTCAACGTACAATATAATAGACTATAAATGGCGTGATCATGTGACACCTATGGGTTTATAAATACACGTTGTTGGTCGAACGAAAAGGCAGATCGTACGTATTTCTCAACGGCAAAGAACAACGACATTATAATCGATTTTGATAATACATTATTTGTATTATTTCTTTTAAATAATTACTTTCGAATTAATCTTCATAATTAATTCCCGTAAGTACATTGATTTGGTGACGAATAAAAAGTGACGAATAAAAAGTGACGAATAAAACAAATATCACGTTATTCTTGAAAATGATTAAAAGCGTCGATCATTCGTACGTGTCAATTGATCATTTTTTATTTCTCCTTCAGATAAAGGAGAGAAAAAAGAAAAAAGGAAAAAGAAAAAGAAAAGAACGTGAATCCCTTCTAAGAATAAGGCCTATTATTTTCTTATTCTGCGAAAAGGAAGACAGGCAGTATGGGTTTTATCTCAATCATTAACATAATTCTCATATGCATAATTTTTGCAACGATCACGTTACGAGGCACTGCCGTCAATAATAACTTCACTGGGAGACTGAGATCCTATACGCCACAAATAATTACGGCACCACCGAAATCATGTCCATCTGGAGAAAAACATGATTCCGCTGGTGTATGTCGGAAAATAATATAACGATATAAATTTTCGAATCGTTCGTAAAAAAAAAAAAAAAAATAATTAATTTTATATCATTCTATATACTATTTTTATTTAATATCTTAACTTTTTGTTCGTTAATAATATTTTGAAAAATATATTAAACTTTTTATCCTTGTACGATATAGTTTTCTTTTAATTGGAATTAGAATATTTTTCTTATGAATGGTTTTCCTTTTTTTCTTTTCTTTTTTTTTTGTTTTTTCTTTTTTTTTCCTTTGATTTCACGAAGTTTAATATGTTAAATAGTTAATTAAATACCACAGGCGAAATAAATACTTCATTTACGAATAAGGATATACATAAGTATGTACGTGTAATCTTTATAATAGTAATAATATTAATGTCGAAGAAATAATTATTTTTATTTCAATGAAAATTCATTTTATTGAAATCATTTTATTTCAAATAAAATGATTGATTTCGTATAAATAAACAATTGAAAAATATTCGCTATAATATTTTTGTAATCAAGCCACGTATCTCTTTTCCTTTCTTTTTCTTTTCCTTTTCTTTTATTTTTCCTTTTTCATCGAACAATCAAAAAAAAAAAAAAAAGACACATTCGAATTAACTCGTCATCTATCGATTGAGAATTTATTAAAAAGAGAAACCGAATGATGCCGAGTGTCCAAACGTAAACGAAACAGACTTGAGTGTGTGTGTGTGTGTGTGTGTGTGTATGCATGCCGAAGGAGAACTTCTTTTATGTATGTATATATTCGTTACATATTTGAAAATAAATGACGAATAATTCGATACATTTTTTTTTCTCGTTATCTTCTTGATTTCTTTTTCTTTTTTATTTTTTTTTTGCAGATTTGTCATTTTCAAAACGAGAAACATTTATCCTTAAAATTTCATGATTATTTATTTATTAAGACTATTTCGAAAATACGAAAATAAAAATTACGAGAGAAATAGAAAAAAAAAACAAAAAAAAAAACATAAATATTTATTCACGATCGTTAAAATTCTACGTTTAATTTTATTCCGCCTATAGTCGTTTCTCTGAACGATTAGAAAATTGCATCTTTAAATGGTATTCTCAAATATAGTGGGGTAAAGTTGCTATAAAAGGATCCTGTTGGATGATACAACAGATAGATCTCTTCGAGGATTTGCCAAGTATTTATTAACGTTCAACGAATATGAAATCTTTAGTTCTTTATTTCGTCACAATTTTATTAGTGACGTCACCGTTTTTAACAATTGCTCATCCATTGGGTATCAAGGGTGGTGAATTACTTAATATATCGAATAATGGAACCTCAGTTAAGTTGCCTGAAATTGATTTGATTGAAGTAGGAAATTTACCAGGTGACTTACTCAAACGTAAGTTTAATTATAGATAAGAATTATATTAATTAAAGTAAACACGATATTTATATTAATTGAATCACTCTCTTTCTCTCTCTTTTTCTCTTTCTCTGATGATATATTTTTATTGATAATGATAGTACCTGGTACATTGGTCGGTGAATCGGATACGAAGTCTCCGTTAATAAAGCCTGCCAAGACAGAATGAGAAAGAAAAATCGATCATTAATCCCTTAGGTAATTATAATCTCTTATAAGATAAATCAATCAATGCTATTTCGTTAATTCGTGAATATTTTCTTTCTGTTTCTTTTTTTTTTCTTTTTTTGTTTGTTTTTTCTTTTGTTATTTTATTTTATTTTTTTATTTTATTTTTTTATTTTATTTTAAAGGTTCGCCGAAAATCGTCACGGAAGAGGAAAATGGCACACGTTTGTTTCATTTGAAATCGTTGATTTAATTTTCTTAAAAAAAAAAAAAAAAAAAAAAAAAAATATTTGCTCGAAATAATGATAAATTCTTTAATACATTTGTTTGTTTGTTTCTTTTTTTTTTGTGAAATAAAAATACATATGAATATTTGCAAATAAATACGTTCAAGTTAATATGTAGTGTTGATCGAAATTTTGTTATCCTGAAAGATATTCCTAAAATTAATTTACATTTTCTAAAGTTTAATATTACAATTATCGACTTTTTTTTTTCTTCTTCTAAATAACATTGTTCATGAGAATGCATATACTAATCTCGAATTATTCAAGTCATTTCAAATGCAAGGAAATATGTTTCGAGTTGCTCGTAGGAGAAGCTACGGCGTAATATAATATATACATTAAAATAATATACATTATAATAATATATATTTTAATAAAAATCATAATACAAGTTTGTTTCCACGTTATCTATGAGATAGAACTACCAGTACTACTTTTTTCTTTTCTTTTCTTTCTTTTTTTTTTTTTTTTTTTTTTTGTTTCTTTTGCTTTTTGGATGTTTCCTCCGTTTGACCATAACAATTTTATTAATATCATTATTATTACTACTAAAATAATTAATAAGATCAACGAGTATAAGAAGAACATATATTTAATTATCGTAAACATAATTTACATCTTATATTAAATATGTAGATGATGATTCATACGATAATAAAATATTTATATTTAAAAGAGAATATATTTAAATAAGAACAAACTATAACATGAATTAAACTAATATTGTCTAATCTAATTCTAAATTAAATCAAAAAAAGAAAAGTATCTATTATAGCAAAAATATCAATTTCTATCAGTTTTAAGTGAATTTCATATTTTGATAAAATTTTTCTTCGCGAAATCTCAAAAAATCGTATCTTTGATAATTTAAACGATTGAGAGATCAATCCACGATATTTAATATTAATTAGATACGATGACAAATACGAAACTTTTCTTGTTTTTATTTACATTGAAGTTACGATCGTATATCATTAGCCCGTAACAATTATTTATTTCATCCATTATTTATCATTTGTAGCGATTTGATTTTGATTCTCAATAATTTCTCTTGTTAATTTTTTGGGAAAAATTGTTTAACCTGCATAAAAATTTAATCTTATAATATCCATTAAAAAAAAAAAAAAATAAATAAATAAATAAATAAATAAAAACGAAAATCCGCTAATTAGTTATTTATATCGACGTCGTCATTCTCTAAAAAAATCAATATAATAAATATCTATCGTATTTCAAATGGTTACAATATCATCGGCCGATATACGTATTCACTTTATTTCTAAATTTTGAATATCAACGAAATGATTTTTAGAAAATAATTATCGTTAAATCAATTAATTATAAATAAAAAAATTATCGATAAATGATCAATAAGATGATATCCTTATGACTACCATTCTAAACGTTTCAAATATTTATGTTTCAACATCGACTTTATTATTACAATGTATAATATACATTATGTATATAATATTTAATTATATTTTTATTATTATCATTATAATTATTATTATGATTATGATTATGACTATTATTATTATTATTATTATTATTATTATTATTATTATTATTATTATTATTATTATTATTATTATTATTATTATTATTAATAGTAATAGTAATAGCAGTAGTAGTAGTAGTAACAGGTGTAATAATATAGAGTGGATTAAAAAATACGAAAACACGAAAAAAACAGAAAAAAAAGAAAACAAACAAGTAAAAAAAAAATACAAAATGTTCTTTCGATTTTTATTAAAATAACATTTAATATACAACATAAACAATATTCGCTAATCGTTATTTCGAACAAAACACTATCGACGAGATCGTATTTATTATTATTTTTTTTTTCTTTTTTAACATTTTTTATACCAAATTTCTATAATATACTTATTATTTTATACGTATCAATAATAACTATTATTCATCGTACGCTTGTTTTATCGTAAAAAACAAATGTTTATCGCTTTATAGAAATGAAAACATTCGTTTTTGTTGTACGAATATGTGACGTCGTCGTTTGAACATATTATCTTGAAGATTAGTTTAATTACGAATTCAATCATTTTTCTTTCATCGAGAGATTTACTTTCGTCAACTCGCAACAAAGTAAGTTGCTGAATTATATATTTTATTTTTTTTTTATATGTGTGTGTGAAAATGTAATTTTGCTTTCGTTCAGAAATGAATACTATGTAAACTTTTTATATTTTTAATCAAATATATATTTATTTATTTATTTATTTGTTTATTTATATTTTTTTAATGCACACACACACACACACACACACACATATATATATATAAACATTTTATTCCTATTTAATTAATCTTTCCTTTTTTATTTTTATTTTAATTAAAAAAATCTTATTTCAATCAATCAAAGAATTTTATTTAATTATATAATTCAATTTAATTGAAAAATCTTAAGAAATTTGATTAAGACGATTTAAATATAATTATTAACAAATCGATCAAGCGTTCAAATAATTTCAATAATAATTTTCATTGTTATCTAGAATCAGATTATGTATCGATCGATCGATCGATTAATCAATCAATCCGTTTTCTTTTCTCTTTTTTAATGAAAAACTTTCCTCATTCACACGATTCTAATATTATTATTATTATTATCATTATTATTAAGAAAACGTTAGACTCTCGTATAACTTTCGTTGACAAATTTCAAATGGCTTATCTCGGATCGGACAAAGGACCGATCGACAATACGCGTTAGATTCCAAAAATATAAAAATAAAATTAAAAAAAAAATAAAAAGAAAGACAGAAAAGAAAATCATTAGAAAGAACGTAGAAGAATCCTCTTAAGCGAATGATACATTGCTACGATTTAAAACCAAGTATTTTCATTGATGAAATACGCGTGAACGATTAGTTACTAACATATATACATACACACACACACACACACACACACATAGACACACAGAGTTATATATATATTCGTTTTAATAAGAAATAATATTAGTACACAATGTTAAAACATATATATAAACGTCGAAGTGTCCAGACGTCGGGGAATTCAAAATTTATGAACAATAAAGAAGAAAAAAAAAAAAAAGGAAGAAGAAAAAATCTATGACAAAAACCAGTTTTATCGAGGAAGGAACATTTATTTACTACTTCGTACTTCGAGGAATTTCGTGATTCGTCGATATCGCATAATAATCGGTCTGAGAAATATTCTTCAATGCCTTAG